GTTTAAATCCACATACACATCCCAAACTGAAGCTCTTTGTTATAACTGTCCACATGATTCAAAAAAGCAAGGCAAACTTAAAATAAATATAAAGTTGCTAAGTAATTTTCTGATTTGCTGGTTAGACTACCAATAGTAGAAACGGCGCAAAGAACTCTGCTGGAGGAAACAATCCTTATCCTCTGCTAAAGTTCAGTTTTTATAGAATAGAAATTGCTTCTAAAATTAAGCAATACATTACTACCCTTATTCCCCGAAAATAAGACAGGGTTTTATATTAATTTTTGCTCCATTAGATTTTACGTTTTTTAAAAAATATAGCTGCTTGGATAGTATTTCAATTGACTTTTTTAATGAACTGTAGGGCTTATTATTGAAGTAGGGCTAACATTTTGAGCATTCTCAAAAATCCTGAAAAATCATGCTAGGGGCCACAGTAGCATAGCCGGTTACACTGCTAGCTGCAGGAAATCTGCTGACTGCAGGAAATCTGCTCCCCTGAAGCTGTGAGTCAGGCTGAGCTCCCAGCTGTCAGCTCTAGTTTCTGCCTACCTAGCAGTTCGAAAGCATGTAATGAAAGTACATCAATAGGTACCGCCTCAGCAGGGAGGTAAAAGGGAGCCCCATGCAGACATGCTGGCAACACGATAGGAGAAAGTCTATGGACAACAGGCTCCCCAACATGGAAAAAATTGAACCAGAGGACCTCCCCATGGCCGGGGTTGAGCATTGCCTCAAGACACTGGAAATGGAAGGGGAAGGCCTTGACCTTTGTCTGTATATTGTATGTTATTGTTTACTATGCTAAAAGGAACTGAATGTTTGCCTTGTATATGTAAACACTGTAATCCACTACGAGTCCCTCAGGGGGGATAAAGCGGAATATAAATAAAGTGTATTATTATTATTATTATTATTATTATTATTATTATTATTATTATTGGAGTAGGTCTTATTTCCAGGGAAACAGAGTAACTAACTTAGATTGACTTTTCGTGATTTTATTTGGAATGACCAACTGTCCTTTTTATTTATGGACATTTGGCACCATTGTTTTTCAAAATTACACTTTCAGCATTGTAACAACCACGTCATCACAAAGCTATGTCATGTTTTCTGAACATTTTCACAAGGTTTTCTCGGTTTTTGTAACTTCTGCCCTTTGGATAAGGCAGTCAAGCTTTTAAATCTAGCATGATTCAATTTATACATTTTAGTTGGCTAATAAAGATATCGGGTATTTTTTAAAAAAGGATTTTATATTTTGTTGTATTGCGCTAAAGGGAAACATCCTTGACAGAAAAGCTTAGAAGGATTCCTCAACAGGACATGCTAGAATGTCCCTGGGAGATCATCATGATTAGTGACAGCCTATCATTTCTTTTATTCAGAAACAGCTGTGAAAATGAGGCCCACTAGCAAGAAAAGTCTCCTATCTCCCACTTCCTTAATAAATGCTTCTTAATTTCAGGTTTACTTTGAAATGACTTGTCACTTTTATTTTGACTTGTTGATTGTGTTATCTGCTACTCTATGCTACTAATATTTTTTATTACACGTATTATTACATTTTAATGCTGCCATAACTGTCATCACTCCATCCTATGGAATCTTATGATCTAAACTTTGGTGAGGCTATTCAAATCTTCTGCTGGAGCGCAGTGGTGAATTCCCCTGTACTACAGCACCATAATTCTCTGAGAGATCATTTTAAATACT